AATAATAATAAAAATAAAGGGGAGACCCAAATGGGGTTCCCCAGTGGGTGCTCGTGGCAGGAGGTGGGCTGCCTGCCTCCGCGCTCCGTGGTTCAGTTGCTCGTGAGGTGAGCTGTTTGCCAGCGCACGCCCGGCAGGGCTGAGGGACGCTGCTTGGTTCAGCGGGAGGCAGGTCACTCGCTTTCGCGTGTCTGGCAGGCCCGCTGTACGCGGCTCGGGCAGGAGGGGAGCTGCTCGCCTGTGTGCAGGCAGGCACCCAGCGGGCCCCGGGAACACACGGGTCAACTGAGCAGGGCAGAAGCGGCTCAGGCAGGCACAGTCTGCGCCTGATGACGTCAGACAGTTGCCGCTTCTCTTTTTCTGCAGTCTTTTTTGTTTTGCCTTTTCCTCTCCTAAACTAACTTCCCTCTGTCCACTGTATGCGCAGAAATCCCACCTTGGGGTAGGTGTCACCAGTGGCTCTCCCTGTTTGAGTCTCCCAGCCACTGGAGGCTCCGCATGGTTCCTGCCCTGCCCCCTCAAGCCCAAAGGAGCTGGGGCTGCCGTGGCGCCCTTTTAAAAAGCCTGTAATTCCTTGCACAGTGATTTCTCAAAGAAGCGGGTCTAAGGCTCTGGCGCACTAAGATTCACGTGGGCTGTGAGACTGTGAATTCCTACCTGGGAGGTTTAATTCGCTAGTTTCCCCTCCCTGATCCCGGAGCCCCCACTTACCCACACCGCCTGGCCGCCCCGAGTTGTTACTTTTTTAAGAATAGATATTTTATTGTGCTTTATGGTATAAGCTAGGTTCCAATTTAGCTGTTTTTTATACAGATTGTTCCATGACATTCGTTACATTTTTCACAATGATTTGGCATGCTCACGTTTGTTCTGTTTCCAATTATCTAATGCCTCTGTCCCTTCTAACTTTCTCATCTTTGCTTTAGGGTAAATGTTGACCATTTGGTCTTCCATAGTTGATAATTTAAGGGAGCATAATTGTTGTTGCTTGTTGTTATCAGGTGCCATCAAGTCAGTTCTGACTCACAGCAACCCTGTACACAACTGGATAAAACACTGCCTAGTCCTGTGTCATCCTAACAAAAGTTGTGTCAGAGCCCATTTCTGCTGCCACTGTGCCAGTCCATCTTGTTGATGATACTCCTCTATTTTGCTGACCCTTCACTTACCAAACATGATGTCCTTCCCCAGGGATTGGTCTGTCCTGATAACATACCCAAAGGGAAACAAAGTATTGTCATCCTTGCTTCTAAGAATCACTCTAGTACTTCTTCCAACACAGATATGTTGGTTCTTCTGGTAGTCCATGGTACTTTTAATATTCTTCTCCCCCACCATAATTTAAATGCCTTGATTTTTCTATTGGTCTCCTTATGCAGTGTTCAACTTCCAGATGCTCATGAGATGATTGAAAATACCATGTCTTGGGTCAGGCACACCTTAGTCCTCAAACTACTATCTTTGTTCTTGAACATCTTTTAAAAGATTTTGTGCAACAGATTTGCATACATCAGTCCTCTAATTTCTTGACTGCTGGTTCCATGACTGTTGACTGTGGATCCAAACAAAATGAAGCCTTTAACAACTTTGATCTTTTCTCCATTTATCATGAGGATAATCACAACCCAGTTGTGAAGATTTTTGTTTTCTTGACATTGAGATGCAATCCATACTGAAGATTATAGTGTTTGATCTTCATCAGTGAGTATTTTAAGGACTCTTCACTTTCTGGTATGGTGCTGTAGGATAATCACTGGACTACAAAGGCAGTTTGAACTGTATGGTTGACAGTTCTAACTCACTAGCTACTCCTTGGAAACCTTATACAGGGTTGTTATGAGCCAGAACTGACTTGATGGCACTTACCAACAACAATAACTTCACCTCTAGTAAGGAACATTGCTCCATCTGCAAATTACCACATTCTTCTTCATATATTCAGCTTCTTAGATATTTGTTCAGCATAAAGAACTCTTGTTCTCTTCTAATAACTGCCTCTTGGTCTATGTACAGGTCATCTTGAACACAATTAAGTATTCTGGAATACCCATTCTTTGCAATATTGTTCACAGTTTATGATCGGCACAGTTAGAGCCTTTGCATAATCAATAAAGAACAAGTAAACATCTTTCTGACATTCTTTGCTTATAGCCAAGATCTAACTGATGTCAGCAATGTGACCCCTAGTTCCAGGTCCTCTTCTGAATCTAGCTTAATTCTGGCAGTTCCATATTGTACTGAGGTAACCATTTTTGAATGATCTTTGACAAAATTTTACTTGCATATAATATCAATGATATTGTTCAATAATTTCTGCATTCCATTGAGTAACCTACTTTGGAATGTGCATAAATATGGATAGCTTTCTATCACTTACCAGATAGCTTTATTCCAAATGTCTTGGCATAGAAGAATGAACATCTCTAGTGCTTTATCAGGTTGTTGAAAGATTTCAATTTATATTCCATCAGTTCCTGGAGATTTGTTTTTTGCCAATGCCTTCAGTACAGCTTGGGCTTCTTCCTTATGTACCATTGGTTCTTGATCATATGCTATGTCTTGAAAGGGGTAAACATTGACCACTTCTTTTTGGTACAGTGGCACTGTGCATTCCTTCAAGCAGTGGTGTCTACATTTTACACATTTAGAAGGCTAGGCTTAGGATCTCAATCTGCCTAAATCGGTGTAGCTGTCAGTGACAGAAATGTTCTATCACTATAAGGCTATAACAGGAGGACAGCAAGGAGTAAGACAAGATAAGAGAAGTTATGGGATGTTGAGGAAACAAATAGACAGGAAAACCTCCCTTTTAGGGATGATTTGTTGGAATAAAAAAGTTCCCTTTTAAAGAATTTCAGGAGAGAGACCAATATAAGGAACCAAGATGATCCATTGACTACTTTCTGGTGATGACTGCTGATTAATAAATTAAAAACTCAGGAGAGCATGGAGTATTCACTGATGTTTGTGTGGGTATGTGTGTGTTTCTCTTAGAAGCCATTTTAGATTCTTTGTACAAAATTTTCCCTGAACAACCAGCTTTTGATGTTCATTAATATTCTTTTAAAAACTGAGATATTATACTTCTATACATGGGATAATGCACTGGACTGCAAGGTTAGTTTAAACCTCAAGGTTGGTGGTTCAAATCCAGCAGCTTCTGATCCTCAGAAATGGTAAAAGAGGGTTGCTATGAGTCAGAACCAACTCAATGGCATTTAACAACAATAACAATATAAAAAACAAGGAACCCTGATAGCATAGTGTTTTATGAGTTTGGTTGCAGTTCAAATCTTTCAGCTGCTCCATGGTAGTAAAATGAGGCTCTCTACTCCCACAAAGAATGATAAATTCTCTATGAGTAAGAATTGACCCTATGACACACAACCATCACGACAATATAAGACACAAATATCAATGAAATTAAAATAAACTCTCTGAGGAGATTCTTTTATTCAGTTAAGATAACCAAACAGTGAGACATGAATGCAAAAGGGGTAAAGGCATAACAACTTTCTCTCCTAAACAATGATGACATTGAATCTGATTCTGACCCTCTCCTAACATGTCAGCCAAGAGGAGGGTAATGTGAGTCTGAGGATGATGACGACGATGAGGATGTAATCACTCTGTGCCCATTTACATGGAAAGTTAACATCTTCCATCATGAAGGAACTGAATTTTTCCATTACTTCTCCTAAGGGAAGACATAGTCAATAAGATTCATTAATACAAGAAGAATTATTAAATAGTGTTAGAACTATAGAGATCATGAAGTCTAGCCTCATTTTTTGTGAGGGGAAACTGAATCTCATAGAAGAGAGGCCCTTGACACAAGGAGTTTTTGACAGAGGCAGGAGCAGACTACCTCTCATCCAATGAGGCTTTCACCCTACTCTACTTCCTCCATTGATCCCAGAACTCAGACTGAATACTCAATGTCTTAAAACCACAAAGCGTGTAGGCCTCTTACAAGGAAAGCTGATATAGCCAACCCCTTAGCTTCTCTTGGACAGCAGGAACTAGGATAAGGTTGGTTTCTGGATTAGTAAGGATGACTTCAACCACATTAAAGGACACTGCTCGTGTCCCTTGAACACAACTTAGTTTCCAGGTCAGGGGTCCAGGAATCTTCCTTTTTTGTGAAATAAACATCCTGAATAGCAAACAAATAAGTAGTCATATCCTTCTGGGATCAGAGCCTACCCTGATACTCTAATTTGTTAAGATAATCACAAAGATGGAAAACAAGAATAAAAAACAAACAACAAACTAAGATAAACAGCCAATATTTAATGACCTAAAGGATCAGAGTGCTAACAATGAGTGAAGAGGACTTGATGTAAGACAGGAAGGGCTAAGGTGCAGGTCTTGAAACTAGAAGTAGCATCTACCTGAATATAGCATCTTCATAGTACTGTTCAGGTCAAACAAAATACCTAAACAAAAGTGTCTATGGGTTTTGGTCCAAATATCCACAGTTTGCATTCCCTATTTTAAAGGAAAAAAAAAAAGTGTGCTGATCTCATGCTACAATTTTGTTTTGCTCACAGTTTAAAACAGTCAAAAGCTGAAGTTGGGGCTAAATATCACCCCCAAACATGGTGACATCTGACATGTCTTTAAAGAACCTTTGGACTCCAGGGACAAAGGTTTGAACAACAAGCTCATGGTCTTGTTGGATTCCTGCAATTGACATTTGGGAATTGGAGGGTCTATCACAGTTTTCTCAAGCTACATAAGAGAAAAATGAGGCATTCTGCCCCTGTAAAGATTTACAGCCTTGGAAACCCTATACAGGGTTGCTATGAGTTGGAATGGACTCCACAGCATACAGCAGCAGCAGTGAGACAGAATGAAACCCACCCAAACTGTAGGAACAGCTTAGATCCAACTCAGATCTGGCTGTGAGACATTTAGTTTTCTATTACCACTGCCTGCTTCTAGGTGAGAATGAGTTCAGTTTATGGAAAGTTACGAAAACTCCTGGAAAGAGGAGGGATTGTCAGTGGAGAACACTGTACCCCACTTCCTTTTCCTGTACTTACAAGCTTTCGGTACAGAGGTGGCATTCATTCCCATAGGTGATGTAATCAGAGCCACAGACAGGCAGGTTTGTGATGGGGCAAGGGATGGCCACCACTGGGTACTTCTTATAAATGCTGCAGTCCACCTGTGACAGAAACAAGAGAAGCTCCTGCTTTTCTCCTGGCCCCAAGGTAGGTTATTCTGGCCTCTATTGGTCCAATAGCAAGAAGGCCATCCCAGAAGTTCCAGCTCAGCTATTCTGATGCCACAGCTACTACTTCTGTTAGTACTTCTACTGCTTTTTAATGCAAATAGCATGTACCTTCCAGGTTAGTTTGCCAACTGCACCCTCCCCTGAGGAGATTGTTTTTGTAAACCTGCTGTGCTAATATATGTATATTATACAAGATGTAACATTACCACTTTAACAAATGCTAGCAAAACCACCATCACCTCTATTACCACGATGATTCCATTCTAACACTTGTTGAACATTTTTTTGCTAGAGTTTTCTGTACCATGACTTTTTAAATTTGTTCAATCTTCACAACAACTGAATAGAGTAGGCTCTACTAGTATTCCTGTTTACAAATGGGGAACTTTAGGCTTTGAAAGATAGATAACTTGAATTAGGCAAAAAATGCTGGTAAGTAGATTTGAGTCCAGAGCCTGTGTTATTAACCAGAGTAACTTTGCTTTTATATATTGTTCCTTTAGCAAACTCCCAGTCATCTCTCTTTCCTTTAACATTGGAATAGTTAGGCTGTGGATATTTATATGTATATGTATAAGCAGAAGCCATTTCATCATGTGTCAGACTCCAAACACACTGAAATAATCTGACATTTATGCTTCATAAGTATTTACTGATTAAATGACAGTCAATGGGAATTGAAATTAAAATGCTATTCAATGTACTCACTGCTGTTGAAGACAGACTGGCAGCTTCTGAAAGAGAAATGGATGCGTAAATAAATAAAATAAATCAAAACCTTGAAATCTCATTAACTTGTGGAGACCTGTGTGGTGCCGTAGGATAAGTACTGAACTGTTAACCATAAGGTCAGTTTCAAACCCACCAGCTGTTCCTTGGAAACACTATACAGGATCACTAGGAGTTGAAACCAACTTGATGGCACTTACCACCACCAACAACGTAAGTTTGGTTTTATAGCTGTAAGATTCTGCATTTCCTAGGACACTAAGCCTTAGTTCATTCCCCATCCTGGTGTGGTGCTGTGGGTTAATGCGCAGGACTGCAAAGTCGGTTTGAACTGAAAGGTTGGTGGTTCAAACTCATCAGCCACTATTCAGAAACCCTATACAGGGTTGCAATCGACTCAATGGCACTTAACAACAACATGCAAAATCCCAGCTTTTGTTTGAGGAAACAAGATGACCACTGGGCCATATTGTTGTTGTTGTTTAGGTGCCATTGAGTCAGTACCGACTCATAGCGGCCCTATGCACAACAGAATGAAACACTGCCTGGTCCTGGGCCAACTTCACAATTGTTGCCACACTTGAGCCCATTGATGCTGCCACTTTGCCAATCCATCTTGCAAAAGTGTAATGAAGTGGAAAGCCTCATCTTTCATTCATAGCCCCTCTGGTAGTTTCAAACTGCTGACCTTGACATTCGCAGCCTGACTTGCAACCACTATGCTACCAGAGTGTCAGGTAAACTCTTGACTCAGGCAAATTAATTACCTCCCGTTATTGAGCAAGGCCCATATTCTGCACTTACTGTGTCTTTGATAATGGTTTACACTGGTGGCAATAGACAGTGTTGCAATCACTAAGAGCCTGAAACAGCATCTTTGATATTTTCTCCCTTCTTAGTGGGTTGAGCTCTGGACTGCTAACCACAAGGTAAGTGGCTGAAATCCACCAGCAGCTCTGCAGTGGGAATGATAAGGAGCAGTTACAGTCTGTCCTGTCAGGTCACTATGACTTGTAGTCAACTCAACTGCTGTGGCTTAATTGAGATAAAGGAATGCAATTAAACACCTTTTAGGTCTTACTGATTATTTTGCCACCTATAAGTGGAATTGTTGACTCCTGGCCTTTATAAAATGGTGTTTTATTTCCATCCTCCTGGACTAACTTGGGAAGACATCCAAATCTCTCTGCATCTTTGCATTGACAATAACACCTACCATTGTACTAATAGTGCCTACCATTTTCATTGTCATTATGCATTGCTAGAATTCAGGAGAAATTACATAACTGATTTTATTTTATAGATAGAAATAATAATTTAAAAGGGAAGACACGTACTCCTCAACTCCCCAAATTCTAGCTGGAGCCAAAAATTCTCCCTTTCCAGGCCAGGGCTGTTACTATTACAGATCTGTACACTTTATATCAACATAACCACACATGCTCAAGTGCCATGAGGAAATAGTTGGGGAAACAGATTAAAGTAGACCTCCCTAGGCATCCTTGACTCACCTCCACTGCTGCAGAAATGGGTCACGGTACAGAGCAGAAGGAGACCCTCAATGATCTTCATAGTGACGATGACTGGTAAAAGGCTGCTCAGTCTTCTCCAGTGCTGCACCAACCAGGTCCGAAGAAAAAGGCCATGCTTATATGCCAAGGCCAGGTTCTCCACCTCCCCTGTGAGGTCATCAGAGTCAGTGTTGGCACTGAGAGAATCTCAACATACGATACCACACCCTGGGAAGTCTTGTTACAGTCCTTGTCACTTAATTGCTAAATCTTACGTGACCAATTTGATTATTTGAGATGAGTGATAAACATTTTTCTGTCTGTCCCACAGGCGGGAACTGTTATTTAGAATTCTGAACTTCATATTGAAGAAGAGATTAGGTATGGGCAGCTTAGTCTAGTTGTGAAATGAGTACAAATTTGAATTTTCCTTTATTATATCAAAATGTAGGATATTAAGGTTAGATTGGAGTCCTGGAATGGTGCTGTGGGTTAATGCGCCAGACTGCAAAGCTGTTTGAACTTCAAGGTCGGCGGTTCAAGTTCACCAGTTGCTCCTCCGAAACCCTGTACAGGGTCACTATTGGTCGGATCCGACTCTACAGGACTTAACAACAACAACAACAAGGTTAGATTAGACAGGTTGTACTTATGTCAATATTTTGGCTGCTGGAAAAATCTTATTTTACATTTAGGGCAATGAACCTGTGAAACAAACTAGGGCCTAAAGGAGGGAACCATAGCACATTTGGAGAAGGGTACTGACACATTATTTTTTTCCATTTTCTAGTTGAATCATCTGAGTTAAGTCATTTATGTGCTGTAAGCCTGTATCAGGAAGGCTTGGTTAGATTGTGGTAGCACTGTTGTTCTTGGATGCTCTCGCCTCGTTTCTAACTCATAACGACCCTATGAAAAACAGAGCAAAACACTGTCAGGTTCTATGTCATCCTCATAACTGTTCTGTTTGAGCCCAGTGTTGCTGTCACTGTGTTATTCTATCTTGCTGGAGCTTTCCTTTTTTTCACCGTCTCTCTATTTTTCCAAATATGGTGTCCTTTTCCAGGGACTAGAGCCTCCTGATAATATGTCTGAAGTAAAAAGACACACAATGCTCCCTTCTAAGGAACATTCTGGATGTACTTCTTCCAACACAGATTTGTTGGTTCTTCTGGCAGTCCATGGTGTTTTCATTATTATTCCCCAGCTCTATAATTCAAATGTATCTATTCCTTTACAGTATTTCTTATCCATTGCCCAACTTCCACATGTATATGAGGCTATAGAAAATATCATGGTTTAGATCAGGTGCACCTTAGTCCTCAAAATGACATCTTTGCTCTGGAACACATTAAAGAGGTCTTGTGCAGCAGATTTGTTTAATGCAATACATTATTTTATTTCTTGACAAGTGCTTCTGCGAGCACTGATTGTGGATCCATGAAAACTGAAGTATTTGACAACTTCAATAATTTCTCCCTGCATCATGATATTATTTATTGATCCAGTGGTGAGGATTTTTGCTTTCTTTACATTGAGGTGCAGTCCATACTGAATGCTGCAGTCTTTGATCATCATCTATTTCAAATTCTCTTAGCTATCAGCAAGTAAGGTTGAGCTATCTGCATATAACAGACTATTATGAGTTTTCTTCTGATCCTGATGCCACATTCTTCTTCATTTAATCCACTTTCTCAGATTATTTGCTCAGCATACAAACTGAATAAGTGTTGAGAAGTTCAGGATACAACCCTGGCATACATCTTTCCTGATTTTAAACCCTTCATATCCCCTATTCTATTCTAAGCACTGCCTCTTGGTCTATGTTCAGGTTTCTTATGAGCACAGTTAAGTGTTCTGGAATAGGGCAATTTTATCCATAGTTAGTTATAATCCAAAGAGCTGAATACTTTTGCACTGTCATGAAAGCACAAGTGAACATCTTTCTGATATTCTTTGCTTTCGGCCAAAATCTATCCTACATCAGCAATGCTATCCCTTATCTGATGTTTTCTTCTGAATCTGGCTTGAATTTCTGGCAGCTCCCTGTTGATATATACTGTTGCAACCATTTTTTAATTATCTTCAGCAAGATATTACTTGCATGTGATATTAATTTATTGTTTGATCTTTGCATTCTGTTGAATCACCTTTCTTTGGTATGGGCACAAATATGGATCTCTTCTAATCGCTTGTCCTGGTAGCTATCTTCCAAGTCTCTTGGCGTAGATAAGTGAGTGCCTCCAGTGCTGCATAAATTTGCCGAATATTTTCAATTTATATTCTGTTAATTCCTGTTGTTATTGTTCAATACTGATGAGTCAGTTCTGATTCATAGTGACCCTATATATGGTTTCTGAGAAGCAACAGGTGGGTTTGAACTGCCAACTTTGTGATTTGTAGTCCAGTGCTAATCCTACAGCACCACACTGGGAGCCCAGGAGTCTTCAGTGTTGCTTGGACTTCTTCCTTCACTACCACTTTTAGCAATATACAACCTCAATACTTATATGACTTAAAACAATACACATTTGCCTATTTCTTACTCAAGCTTCACATATACAATTACCATTGTGAGGGTGATGCATTGTCTGCACTCTGGATTCTAAATAGACAGTGGTTACTATTTGGAATGTTATCAGTAATCAAGGTGAAGTGAAATGCCTTCTTAAGGATTTCTCGTTTTCAGCAATGTCTTAGCCCAAAATTGATACCACCTATCAGTTCTTAAAACTTATTGACCAGAACCATCATGTGATCTCACCCAATGCAAGTGGTTCCATGAGAACTTACCTTGTTCTCTTAAGGTTAAAAGGGAGAGAACTCGATTTATTTGGCAAATGCCACTATTTCATCACCTGTAGAGTGGGGTCAAGTGTAAGCCATAATGTTGTTGCTGTGTGCCATTGAGTTGATTTTCCACTCAAATTCCCCCATGTGACAAACTAGAATTGCCCACATAAGACTTTCTAGCCTGCAGTCTTAATGAGAGAAGATCACTAAGTATTTCTCTGTGTGAGATATTGGGTGAGCTCAAACACCACATTCCATTAGCAGCCGAGCACTTTAGAGTTGTGTTACAAGGACTCCTTGTTAGCTACAATTGTTGTGGTTAAGTGTTGTTGAGTCTGTTCAGACTCGTAGCGATCCTATATAGGGTTTCCAAGGAGTGATTGGTGGGTTTGAATCTCCAACCTTGTGGTTATTAGACCAGCGCTTATCCTAGAGTGCCACACCAGGACCCTATTTAGTTACAATACAGATAATTTAATTGGAACCATTTATGTGAAAGTCTATGCTAAAGCACAATGTAAAATGTTATTCTAAAGCACAATGCAGAAAATGCATGTTATTTTGATTATTATCATTATTATTGTTGATCCAAGAGTCTCTGCTATACATTTCTAACTTTAGTTTGCAAACTGTATTTCCAACAGAAGCACAGTTGCCCAATTTTCTTTCACTTACCTTCTGAACTGAAGAACATATGTATGAAACCCTGTGGGAAGGCAGTAAATTCTATTCCAGCAATCCATTGCTTGGCAGGTTTATTCCCATACATGCTGAAACACAAAATCTACAAAGGATATTAAGCTAATAATAAATTTAAAATGTATACATGTATGAGTCCCTAAAACTTTGACTGTACATCTGTTTGGGCAGTAATGCTATCGAGTGATTAAGAAAATGGACATTTGGAATAAGATTATTCCAAATAATCTTATTTGGAATCTTACTTCTAATAAATGTTGATTGTGACTTTGAGTGTGTAGGCTAACCCTGGTAGGGTATTGGATTGTGAGTCCGGCTGCTAATTACAGGATCAGCAATTAGAATCTACCAGTCATTCCTAGGGAGAAAAATGAGGTTTTCTTCTCCTGTAAAGATTTACAGCCTTGGAAACCTTATATGGGGTCGCTATGAGTTGAAGCTGACTCAGTGACATACAACCACCATCACCACCATCTCTAAAAGAGAAATATTTTCCTTACAGAGTGATTTTTAAGTATTAAATGAAATTTTATATATACATATTTGCTGTTGTTGAGTTGGTTCTGACTCATTGCAATGCTATGTACAACAGAGTGAAATGTACAACAGAATGAAATGCTGATGGGTCCTGTACCATTCTCATCATCATTACCATATCTGAGCACATTGTTACAGTCACTGTGTCAATCCATCTCATTGGGAGTGTCCCTCCTTCTCCAGGGACTGGTCCATCAAAATATGTGAGATGAAGTCTTACCATCTTTGCTTTCAAGGAGCATTATGCTGTTCTTCCTCCAAAAAAAATTGTTTCTTCTTCTGGAAGTCCGTGGTATATTTAGTATTCTTCACCAAAACCATAATTCACATGTATCAATTCTTTTCTAGGTTTCCTCACTTACTGTCTAGCTTTTACAATTTGTTGTTACTAAGTGCCATCGAGTTGGTGCCGATTCATAGTGACCCTGTGTAAAGTGTCCCAAGACACTGTGGGTTTGAACCACTGACCTTTTGGTTAACAATTCAATGCTTATCCTACAGTATTCCTAACATAACTATGTAGTGATTAAAAGTTCCAGGGCTTTGGTCAGGAAAATCTTAGTCCTCAAATTAACATTTTTGACACTTTAAAGAGGTCTTTTGCAGTAAATTTGCCCAATGCAATGCATCATTTTATTTCCTGGTGAAGTGGCAAAGGGACCAAGGGTGATCAAGCTGAACTGGAAGGATACAGTCACTTTTTTAATGTTTATAGTCAAAGAGAGAAGCTCAATGAGAGAAGATTGATGCTACATAAAAGTCTACCATTTACCATAGACTCTCTCTCAGTCTATCTATGGAGTCCTGGTGCAGGCAATTCTAGTCAACAGAGAACAGAAATATTAAGGGCCATTAGACAAAGTCACCATTGGAATTTAGCAGGTGCAGTCTATTCTTCACATTTCCCCATAATGTGTTATGATACTGAGTGAGGAGTGAGAAATGTAGTTTTTATGGAGATGGTGCATCAGAGACTTGAGGGGGTCCATAAACACTGAGTCAGGAGACAGCTAACCTGGAAAGATTCAAGTG